AAGGCTTTCACGACCGGTGTGAATTAAACTAAAACTAGAACTAGAAACTTTCGGGTTTTGCCGTGCGTCTTTTAATAAAAGGTTTGACATTTCGGATGCCATGTTGCAACCTTCTTCAGAAACTGGTTCGAAGTGACGAGATCAAAAATCAGTAACTATATATAAGTCGGAAAAACTAATTAATAATCAGTTAACGCTAATTACAAGCTAATTAATAACTAATAATAACCTCTGTGCTCGCCAAAGGATTGAACTACGCAATCGCCCCGAAGAAGGTCCCAAAGGAGGAAATCATCTGCGAAGTGGAAGCAGCTGTTCGAGGGATGCCTGCACTGAAAGCCGAAGAGATCCGACAAGAAGTTGCGAGAGTATTGAAGTCAGCAAAACCACCAAAATCCAACTTGACGATTGGTGAAAAGAAGGCACTCCGATCTATAAAAGAAAAGTCAGAAATCGTCGTGTTACCAGCAGACAAGGGGAATGCCACCATTGTTATGGACAGGAAAGAATACGATGACAAAATGATGAACCTACTGGACCCAGCCACTTACAGAAAGATCAAGAAGGACCCCGCAGACAAAATCGTAAGAAAAATGAAGGAACTGATAAAATCCACAGGAATTCCAGCAGAACAGCAGAAATGTTTGTTTGTGCAGGCGCCGGCACCACCAAGAATCTACGGACTACCGAAGATTCACAAACCAGACGTCCCTCTCCGCCCTATCGTCAGCGCCATCAACTCCCCAACATACCAGCTGGCCAAACATCTTGCAAAGATTCTGCCTCCCTTTCCAGGTAACACGGAATCGTATGTCAGGGATTCTACACATTTTGTGGAATCGGTAAAAGGTGTAAAGCTGGATGCTGGGGATATGTTGGTAAGTTTCGATGTGGAATGCCTTTTTACTAGGGTACCAGTTAAGGATGCTGTAGAGGGTCACTTGAACTCTCAACATCCTATGATTAAGTTCACCATGGAAACAGAAACTGCCAAAAAACTACCTTTCCTAGATGTGTTGGTCACCAGGACGACAAGTGGAGATATAGAACTTGGTGTATACCGAAAGAAGATTCATACCAACAGGTATTTACAGGCATGTTCACATCATCATCCCCAACAGAAGAGGTCCGTGATCCGTACATTATTTCAGCGAGCAGCGAGACTATGTGAAGGAGAGAACTTGAAGAAGGAGCAACACTTTCTACGAGGCGTGCTGCAGAAGAATGGATACACTTCGAGGGACATCAACCAGGCCATCAAGCAGCGAAAGCAGAAAGAGGACACGATAAGTACAAAACCACTTGGATTTATCTGTCTTCCCTATGTTTCAGGTGTAACGGAACGAATTGCTAGGCACCTCAAGAAGAACGACATCGTAGTGCGGTACGGCACGGTCAGCAAAATTCGGAACACACTCCCGATAGCCAAGGACAAACTAACTCCATTAAAAGGAGCGGGAGTCTATCGACTATCGTGTAGTTGTGGGAAGGTTTATGTTGGCCAAACTGGACGCAACGTCGAGTGCCGCATCAAGGAGCATGAGAGGGATGTAAGGCTGAAGAAGACCCAGCAGTCGGTGGTTGCGGAACATTGCCATGCAGAGGGGCACCGAATAGACTTCGAACAAACAAAGGTGCTGGCTAGGGACAACCGATACTACCAAAGACTGACAAGAGAAGCCATAGAGGATGGCTGGGAGCTTAGCAGAACATGGAAGATGGTGGTGAACACGAAGACCTCTTCCCGCTTCACACCGGACGCGACGCAATTAGTTATTAATTAGCTTGTAATTAGCGTTAACTGATTATTAATTAGTTTTTCCGACTTATATATAGTTACCGATTTTTGATCTCGTCACTTCGAACCAGTTACTGAAGAAGGTTGCAACATGGCATCCGAAACGTCAAACCTTTTATTAAAAGACGCACGGCAAAACCCGAAAGTTTCTAGTGTTAGTTCTAATTTTAGTTTAAAGGTAAAAATAAAGATTACAAAAAATACTGGTTACATAACGCTCGGAAATGTTCAAGGATTGCCACCAATCAAGATGTTTTCAATACGTTACTATACACCTATGATCCTTATATATCATCAATTAGACATGTTGTAGAAAAAAGCAAGTTAGATTTAGATTCAGAAGCCATTGATTGGCTTCTGATAAAATAAATATTAATTAACTTTCCATTATAAGTGTAAGCATTATTAGGTGTAGTTAACAAAAAGCAAGCATTATTTTTTACTTAACAATAAATCTATATTTAAATATCATCTGTATCTTATTTTAGAAGAAAGAATTGTGACTAACTTATGATTTTTCTGCAAAGTATACATAAAATTCTAGGGTAATGATTATACCATTTATATTATTTATTGGAACTTCACAGGGTTGCTATTAGGCGAATAGGACAACATCTTAATTAATACTTTTAAACATACTATAAGGGTAGTAAATGACGCGTCGTGTCGTTACCCGGCATGATGGAGGTAGGTTTTGTAAGGTGTTCTATGAAATGCGAATTAGATAGGAGAAAATGTACACGCTTGCTTATCTCCCGATAAGCAAGCAAGGGTTAGATTGAAGTCGCCAGTTATTATTAAATATTTAAATTGAGCTGCTTTGGTCAGTATGTTTTCTTCTACGGCGGAATGGGGATAAATATATGCTAGGAAAACGTGTAAGAATTCGTTCTTGAAAGGAAATTTCGAATGTAGGCATTCATTATCGGGATTATTGAGGGACGGGAGGTTGTCTTTGACAATTTTTACGGACGGATTGGCTAGTACCAGTGATCTACCTCTGGTTTTATCTATTTTGTGTCCATTCTTTTGTATTACGTGCCAGTCCCGATATTCTATTTTTTGATAAGATTTTGTTTTCGTTGTCGTAAGTACTTTTGTTCTAAAAGTTTTTTGATAACATGCTCCGTTTCCGGATTGTTACCATTAAGTACTTGCAAAAGCAACAAATTCATGAAATTTTCATATTTTCGTATTTTTCTCGATATTGACGCATCTAAAAGTAAAAGTGCAACAGAGCAATATTGTTAAGAATAAAATTTGCTACAACTTTTGTTTTAAAAGTTTTTTTATAACATGCTCCGTTTCCAGAGTGCTACCATTAAGTACTTGCAAAAGCAACAAATTCATCGAATTTTCACATTTTCGTATTTTTTTCGATATTGACGCATCTACAAGTAAAAGTACAAGAGAGCAATATTGTTAAGAATAAAATTTGTACTAACTATTCTTCTAAAAGTTTTTTTATAACATGCTTCGTTTCCAGATTGTTACTATTAAGTACTTGCAGAAGCAACAAATTCATGAAATTTTCATATTTTCGTATTTTTCTCGATATTGAAGCATCTAAGAGCAAAAGTGAAAGATAGCAGTATTGTTAAGAATAAAATTTGCAACAACTTTTACTCTAAACGTTTTTTTATAACATTCTCCATTTTCCGAGTGTTACCATTACCTTGCAAAATAACGAAATTTTCATATTTTCGTATTTTTCTCGATATTGACGCATATAATAGTAAAAGTGCAAGAGAGCAATATTGCTAAGAATAAAATTTGCTACAACCTTTGTTCTAAAAGTTTTTTTATAACATACTCGGTTTCCCGAATGTTACCATTAAGTACTTGCAAAAGCAACAAATTCATCAAATTTTCATATTTTCGTATTTTTCTCGATATTGACGCATGTAAGAGCAAAAGTGAAACAAAGCAATATTGCTAAGAATAAAATTTGCTACAACTTTTGTTATAAAAGTTTTTTGATAACATGCTCCGTTTCCCGATTGTTACCATTAAGTACTTGCAAAAGCAACAAATTTCGTCCATGGTTTCAACATTTTCAAGGAGATCAAAAATATATTAAAAGCAAATAAAAATTATGAATGTTAAGATAGGTCGGGATTGTTTACCCATTTTAATAAGCGTGACCAAGAAATGTTAAGATTGGTCGGGATTGTTTACCCATTTTATGAAGCGTGACCAAGAAATGTTAAATAATATTCAGTTATGATGATTACCTATTGTACTAAAACTTGAAACGAAAAAAATCGAACATGTCGGTCGCAAACAAAATTCTTGCTCCCATTGAGGAATATCCAACATTGCTACTGACGGAATTTTCTTTATTTTTCCCATAATATATTTAAAAGTATCAATTAAATACCTAAAAAAAACCAAATCAACACATCAGTTTAAAAATAAAATAATTACTTACACCATAAGATAACTTTTGTAAACCAACACCAAAATATGATTTTTACCCACCGTAAATCCTACAGTAATTGATAAATTAATTATACAACCAATCGCAGGGGCACAAAGATCCGAGGCGATCCCAAACATTTGATTATAAATCTTGTGATCGCTCGGATTTGTGTAACAAAAGTCTTTAAAGAAAGCTTTATAGAATAGCATGCTATAACTATTAAAAAACGATAAGATGTAACTCTTAAAAACGAACGAGTTAAGATAATCATCTTGGGTTCGATGAATTTCGTCGTCGGTTAACGCTTTAGCAATCCTATTTAAATGCTAGAAATAAAAATAAAAGTTACAAGAAGTAATGTTTAGGTAAAAAAACTCACCGGGGCGTACATCTTCATAAGAAAAATCGACATGAATGAAGAATAAAGTTCCAATATTGGGCGCATGTAAATCTCGGCGACTTTAATACGATACCGAATGATTGAGTATTTTATAAAATGAATTGAAATTAAAATTATCGTTAACGTAAGTAACAAAAATATAATCTGGAAATTGCAAAGAAATTATTTTTTTTTTGAATTAAACGATTTACTTACAATACTAAAAAGAACAAGAAATGAATAAAAATATTTTCGAGTTTTCATAAAAAACGGTGTGTAATATTCCTCGGTCTTAGTATATTTATTGTATTCTTTATATTTTTTAACTCTTTCCCGGTAATTAGCCCTTAAAATGATTCAAATTAATAAAATAATTAAATCACTTAATATGATAAATTTTATTACAATTCATCAATTTGTTGTGTAGATCTATGTAAATTCCAAGTATAATGTAAAATACATTCTTCTCGGTCCCATAATTCAATATAAACAGTAGCTTTAAATTAAAAATCAATTTTACTCCTAAAATTTAAATGAAAAGAACAACAAACCCCAAACTATTATAAAAACGCCAAAAGAAAACGTATAAATATTATCAAAATGATACGCCATTACAGCTGTTTCACAATAATCTTTTAATTCTTTATAATAGCAGTGTTGGTGAGTGCAAGTTGGACACATTTTCATATTCGAATTGCAAATTTCGTCGCTAAAAATAAAATTATTTTAATTAATTCAACTATGATAGTAAATAATTTTTAATACACTCTTTCAACACCATTCTCCGATAAATATAAATCATAATGTCCTCCAAAAAATACGAATATACCCAAAACAGCCGGAATAATCAAACATTTCGTGTAAAATTCTAACCAGGCATAATGAAAAGCAATTTCAGATCCATAATATTTATAAATGATATGAATTGGTTGAAATTTATAAAACATCCTCCAATTTCCCCAGAATTTAGCTAAAATCTTTAAAAATTCAATTTCAACGGTTCCATACAAAAAGAAATTAATACTTGTCTATCATTCAACGGACCCGATTCACTCCATTCATCTGGACCATCATGTAAAGGAAAAGCATCATCAAAATTATTGTTGGCCAATAACTTTCCGAGTCCATATTCATCCGGGGATGTCCCAAATTTCGTTCTAGTTAAAACACAATTGATCAAACTTATTCTTTCGGCGCTGGTAAATGTTGTGTTTTCTTGTCCTCTAACTGAATTACTAAAAAAATAATAAAAAAATGTTACATTAAAAAAAAATAAATAATCAAAACCTGCATCTTGAAAATAAAGGATTCAAATAATTCGGCTTCAAACTAATCGGCGTTTTAAAAAATCTACAATTATTCGTATAATTCGGCATTGTTTTGTCATGTTTAAACGTTGGAAATAAACCGTGAATCACAGCGAGGTGTGCTAAGGCTTCATCGGAGGCGTAAAGTTTAAAAAATATATATTGCGGGTATTTAACACCATCAACAGGTTCCACCGTTAATCCTGCTTTCTTCAAATTATTTATAAACTTGGTATTTTGAATTTCAGCAGTTTCCGATACAATTCTACTTTGAACTAGGATAAAATCGGCAGGTGATTTCACTTCCGGAGAGAAAGTAAGATTTTCAACCATTTTTTTTAATTGACAAATTCATCATCTTTCAAAATTAATGATTAATTAACTGGAGATCAGTCAATTTTCCTTATATATAGAGTGTCTCGAAACTCAACGTAAAGCCATACCAGTTCTGGTTAAAATAAGAAAAAAATTCCATGCCTCTTAGTTAAGTGGTAATAGACATATTTTTGAAAATATTAAAAGTAATAGTAATTATTATTTATTGTGCCAACACATGATACAATAAAACAAAAAAAACAAATACAATTCATAATATTCAATAAAAAAAAATACAAATCAATAAAATAATTAAATTAATCAATAATAACTCAATTAGATATGTTAGCACAAATGGTGAAAGAACAGATAAAAATCTGGTTTAACTTCCACCGTGAGACAAAAAAAAAAGAACAAACAAACAAAATAAAAATGCATAAAATAACTTATTTACATAATACTAAATTACATAATTATTAAAACAAAACTAACCAAGCACGAAAAACTTATAGTCGACCTGTCTAGCAACACTAAAAGATCTAAATTTCGCGATAGAGCCAGCACACCTCACGGAATCAGGGATCACGTTCCATACCCTAGCCACTTGATACGAAAACGATTGCTTAAATTTGGTTGATTTGTGCCTAGGAACGATGCCTTAAATTAAGGTGGTGAACATCAGTCCTGAACTTTATTTTACTAACCAAATAAGGAGGTTTTCAATGAAATAACACTGAATAGATCAGACATAGATAGTAAGTAGTGAATCTCTGTTCCATATTCAGCCACCTACAGAGCAATAGCTTATCCGAAATATGTTCTCTACGCACGATACCATAAATAAAACGTACACAAGAGTTTTACACTACAACTTGCTTATTGTAGTGCTACTTTATGGGAAAGAACTAGTGAATCACACAAAAGTCGTTTCAATTCACAAGAAAGAATATTCCTGTTACCATAAAGCGCTTTCAACGATCCAAATATCCTACCACAAAGCATACCCACATGACCAGAAAAAGACAACTGCTCATCAATCACTACACCCAGGCTTTTAACAGAAATTTCAAATATTAGTGGCTGATGTAAAATATCAATATTAATGTCAACTCTATCAACATGTCACGCACCCTTTTTAGTAAACAAGATACTTTGCGTTTTATTAGGATTAATCAGCTATGAATGTTGCTCAATGCCAGCACACAGTTACTGCAATTCACCAATTACTCGACTACTGCACACATCCGGCAACTCATGCGGAAAGATGATACAACAGGGCAGTTAAATCAGAAAACAGATTACAAGTAAAAATTGTGATAAGTATGGGACCCAAGATGGACCTCTGTGGCACACCAAACGCAATTGCCATAGAAGACGAGATTGTATCATTCACCGTAACTGACTGCCGATCCTGAAGATAATTCTGAAACAACTCAACAGCTGCACCACTAATTCCTATGTAATGTAAGATTGACAGCAATAGATCATGATTTAAAATGTCAAAAGCTTTAGTGAAGTCCAAAAGAATCAATATTGTCGACCTTCCCTCATCAAGAGGCCTAAAGATGTCATCAGTAATGTCCAACAGCGCGGCAGCACAGCTATAGTGTTTTCTGAAACCCGATTGTCTGCCAGGTAGAATATTATTCTCATTCAAGTGGCTACAAAGCTGTTCAACAATCACTCTCTCAACTACCTCAAATGTCAAGTCACACTACGCATCCTATTGTTACGATAATAACTCAACAAATCCTGATTAGGAGGAACCAGAACATTTTGAGCAGAATCAACAAAAAATTTATTGACCATTTCAGGATCAGTTAAGCTATCCGGCGAAACAGCAGAAGATGAATTAACAACATTGTATTCTTTTAAGCGCTTCCATATGTTGCGAGAGTTACTTGTGTTACAGTTTTGTTCAAGAAAAACACGTTTCTCAGTACGGATGGCATTCGTAACCAAGTTGCGAAGATTCTTGTAATAAACAAAGTGTGCTTGTTCACGTGTTCGTTTATATTTCTTAAACGCAGCATTTTTCACTTTTATCATCTGTTTAATATTCCAGGTTATCCAAGGTAAAGAGTTTTTCTTTACAACCCGAGTGACAATAGGGGCATAAACAAAGCTAATAATGTTTCATTAAAATAATTAACTTTCTCATCAATAGAGATAAACACAAAAACTGTTTCCCAATTCATCCTGTTCAAATCATTATTAACATCCTCGATATTAATATTACGTAAGTCACGATAGGTAATCGTTTTAGGAGAAGGAATGTTTTTTCAATCATAAGTGTACAGTTAACCAAGAAGTGATCCGAAAATCCAAGATCATCAGTATCACTCTGAGCCACCAAAAGACCCTCCGACACAAAAACCAGATCAATTAATGATTCAGAGTCACCCGAAACTCTAGAGAGTTGGACAACAACCTGAGACAAGTTAACCGCTTGAAAAGCCGCCATAAGAGCTGTCCTGGCATACGAGTCAACTAAAACATTAACATTAAAGACGCCCACGACAACAATGTGGTCAACAGTGGGACAGCGAATCACAAGATGCCTCAAGAAACTGATTTAAATCCATAGAGGGTGGCTTATAAGAAAAGCACCAAGCACAACTTTAACACCACGAAGAGGTAATCTCACCCATAACTGCCCAATTCCAGTACCATTCTGTACATCTATCATACAACATTCGTGACTCGAATGATTCTATTTCTAGCTCTTGTGTTAGTTCTAGCGATAGTGCTAGTGTAAAACTAGAACTAATCCTAGACCGAGAACTAGATACATTCGGGTTTAGCCCCACGTCTCTCAAGACGGCTAAACCCGAATGATTCTATTTCTAGGTCTTGGGTTAGTTCTAGTGATAGTGCTAGTGTAAAACTAGAACTAACACTAGACCTAGAACTAGAAAGTATCTAGAAGAATGTTACTAGGTCTAGTGTTAGTTCTAGTTTTAATGCAATAGAAATATGCAACATAGTGATATCTTATGCTAAGTAGTACTACCTATCACTGTCACCAAGTCTCTCAAGACGTGAAGAAGTGAATCGCTTATTAATTATTGAAACAACTTAAGTCACTTTTTATAACATTTTAATACTTTACAAACCCAGGTTTGTACTTTAGTTAATATACAAGCAAAATAACGATCTGCCATTTGTTTTAATAAACTCAAAATTCTTTGCCAAAAAAAGTCCTAAGTTGTTNTTACAAGAAATTAACATCGAAAATATAAAGCGGTGAACAAATTAAAATTATTATTGTCACAAAATCTACTTAAAATAAACATAAAAATTCTTTTACAAAACTTTAAAGATTTAACTCCGCATGGACATCTTTTGTGGTAGATGTTACAAGATGGTCTGAGTTCAGGTTTTTCTTTTTTCTTCTTCGTAAGAGAACAATATATAATGCGCATGTACAAAATATTTGGTGACGTATTTTAATTCTAAATTCAAACTAGAAAGTATTTTGAAAACTCATTTAAATCAAACTATCGAGGACTAACATGAAAATAAAAATTTTTTTTGTAATTAAATATAATTAAAATGTTTTTAAAAAAATTCTTTTTATGATTTTATATAATATTTCAAAGTTTTTCCTTTCTCGAACCCTAATCCTTATACACCTCTTCCTATTTTTATATTTTAAAGTTCCCATTTCAAATTCCAAATATTTGTCATCAAATATTTTGTACATGCGCATTATATATTGTTCTCTTACGAAGAAGAAAAAAGAAAAACCTGAACTCAGACCATCTTGTAACATCTACTACAAAAGATGTCCATGCGGAGTTAAATCTTTAAAGTTTTGTAAAAGAATTTTTACGTTTATTTTAAGTAGATTTTGTGACAATAATAATTTTAATTTGTTCACCGCTTTATATTTTCGATGTTAATTTCCTGTAAAATACATTGACTTGTAAGTATTTTTTAAAAAACTTTTTATTGTTAATTCACATATTTAAATTTCACTTATTGATTAAAAATTGTTCATTCTTGTAGTTGTCTCTGATGATGGCTTTTGCCGAAACTAGTTAGACAACAAAAATATAAATAAACCAGTAAAAGTACAACAAAATTCGAAAATTTTTTCTATCACGTTAAACATACTGGTATAATGGATATTAACTTCAATTTCAACCTAATTATATATAAGAGGTTGTCTGTTTTCCTATACTGCAATACTTTGATTTTAGTTTTTGGGCGAGGGGCAAGAGCGGGAGTGTTTCGTGACGTAAGGGGCGGCAGATTGCGCGCGCAACCTCAGGATCATGTTTAATGAGAGTTGAAGTGAATCGCTTATTAATTACTAAAACAACTTAAGACACTTTTTATAACATTTCAGGAAACGAAAAAAAAACATTTCATATGAAAACCGTTACTTTTTAGAAAATTTTAATAATTTACAAACCCAGGTTTGTACTTTAGTTAATAAACAAGCAAAATAACGATCTGCCATTTGTTTTAATAAACTCAAAATTCTTTGCCAAAAAAAGTCCTAAGTTGTTTCTCAAATAAATACGTACATTTATGAATTCAAAATTTTATTTCACACGAAAGAACAAAGGTTTACGTTAACATAAAACACAGTTACTTAGTTTTGGTCTGTTTGGGGTCCTTGATCTTGGTACTTTCAAGAATTTCTTCGTAAAATTGTTTATAATCGTCTTCTACCCATTGAAACAATGTTTCGGCAATTGTATCTAGATATTCTTTCCTCTTTTGGGATGAGTCAGCTTAAAGGTTCTTTCATTTCTAGAATGTTTTTCAGTTTCATTAGAAGCACATGTAACCTTGTAGTATTTTGGCCACCAGTTTTTACAATCTATGATATCTTCTGTTGCAACTTTCTTTACAGTAAAAGCGTTTTTGGCGCTAGTTATAATAAGTTCAGTGAACGTATGGACATTATAACTCGGTCAACTTTCCTTAAAAAATTTCTGTCACAAGGCAGAAAAGAATGTCCTCGCAAGGGGTAATACTGCACCTTTTAAAACCTTCCACTTTTA